TTAGGCCTCCTCTGGATTCCATCAACTAGCCAGTGTCGACTGTCGACCTCCCGGGGAAGGGCCATCTCTGTGGCTGCTCCGGCCCTCTGTAACGATCTCCCCGTGGAGATTCGGACCCTCGCCACCCTTCAGGCTTTCCGCGAAGCCGTTAAAACCTGGCTGTTCCGGCAGGCCTGGGGCTGTTGAGTTCCCAGCCCCACTCGAATGGTTGCGGCTGTTGATGAGTTTTTAATTTGTTGTTTGTATTTGTTTTGTCTTCTTGTTTTTTGTACTCCCCCTTTCCCTATTTGGTTTTGTTAGCCGCCCTGAGTCCCCTTGGGGAATAGGGCGGCATACAAGTTTAATAAAACTAAAACTAAAACATATATTCCTTGACCTAATTTTAGGCATGTGTGGGAAGCCTAAAGCCAGAGAAAGTGGGCAAGAATACAATAGCAATAGCACTTAAGACTTATATACCACTTCATAGTGCTTTACAATCCTCTCTCAGAGGTTTATAGAGTCAGCATATTATTCCCAACAATTTTACCAACCTTGGAAGGATGGAAGGATAAATCAACTTTGAGCTGGTCAGAATCGAACTTCTGACAGTGAGCAGTGAGTTAGCCTGTAACACTGCATTCTAACCACGGTTCTGGTGTGACGGAGGAGCCTCTCCAGTGATTATTTCAGATCTGTGTCTATATCAATGAGAGTCTATGGAGATTCTCGGTTATCCAGATCATGGTTGTCCCAAAGTCACAAGAATGACCTGGATAAAAAAGCACTTTAGGGATATCAATGACAGCCATTTTTGTGTAGTGGTCAAAAGAACTGGATTAAAAACTGCTAATCTAATCTAATCTTAAACACAAAGCCATCTGTGTGACTTTGGGCAAATCACTCTCTCTCAATACTAAGAGGAAGAAGACAATGGCAAATCACTTCTAAAAATACTGCCACAAATTTTTGCTGCAGGGACTATGCCAGGTGAGCATCAGGAGTCAAGGCACAAAAATGAAAACGGACAAAACCTCTCTCTCCATGGCCCAGAGTTAGAGAAACAATAAAAAGAAAGAGAAAAGGATGGCAAGAAAAAAATAGGTAGAAAACAGCAACAACAAAAAGGAGAGCTATATGCTACAAGCTGCTCAGAATTGCTGTTACAGAGATTTGTGTATTTATTTATTACAAATTCATTAAATAAATACATAAACAAAATAAAGCCCTATATATTTTTGACTCTAGTCCTGCTTACAATGAGCAGGGTCTCAAATGCATTCTCATTGGCTTTACAGCACTGATTTATAGTGGGTCAGAGAAGCTTCTTTGGTGTGGCCAGAAATAGGAGTGGGCACGTGGCTGTTGAAAAACTGAAAGGAGGGAGGAATTCCAGCAGGTATAGCTTGCTTGAAAAGTTATACCTGCTCCAATTCCCTTTTCTGCCTAAGTCTTAAAAAGTGAAGGGATCTTGTCTCTTATTGTACCAAGCCACCTTTGGATGAGACAACATGGCAATTTTGTTTTCCTACCTGTGATCCTTGTGCTCTGTCAGGAGGCAGCAGCGACAGGTAAGGACGTCACAAGTCTCACAAAACAGCTTAAGCCTCTCTTGGCTATGCATCGGACAAAACAAGGGATTTTCATTGGCTTCCCCTTCAACTCCTGAAAAATAAAACATTGCTATAAAATAAGAACAATTGCAATTGCCTCAATATCAGGCACAGGAGACAAACTGGTCAGTCAATTCCTGTCAGCTCATGGACTGGCAGTCAGTTGAACCAAAAAAAATGTACCCTGCATTTGCAGGAAAAATTCTAGGGGAAAAATACAGATATAATACATGTTGAAGATGATTTTTAGAGAAAGATTGGTATAAATGTATGATTACTAAGTGGTCTTGTATAATAAATTCTGAAAGTTAACACAATTAATCTCAGATTGTCAGGAGTCATGTATTTTATATCCATCAAATTTCACGCTCATATGTAAATCATCTATATCCTTCACATGCAAATATCATAAATTTATTATGCTCCACTATTTCAATTTAGAACTGAAAATCTTGTAGAGAAAAGAGCAGAATGTAACTCTTTGTACAGTGCCTTTAAAATACACCATGTCCTTCCTCTGGAAGGAACTAGGGGAAAAAAAAACCAAAAGTAGAGAAAGAATATGCATTTAGGTGAGTCCACAGAATTTTAGAATCTTTTTCAGTTTCTCTTTGCTGATTGCCCTTTTCAGCAATTTTCAGGAAGGATATAGACATTCTAGACTAGCAGCCGCTAACCTTTTGGGCACCAGGGACCAATTCCATGGTGAGAGGTTTTTCAGTGGGGGTGGCGGATCACTGAATTCTGTTGAGAACTGCATCACATTAGCTAAGGCACTGTTTCTATACACGCACAGGTCCAATAAGTGAATTACAGATATATTGTTCAGCAAAAGAATGGGAAAAAACATGAGCAGGTTCCATTTCTACCTGAACATCCTTTCAAGGAGACTGGCAAATAATGTTCCCCTCCTGCTTCTTTGCTGTGGCTGTGTTCTTCCGTACATAAGCTACAAAGCCACTTGTTGCAATTTGTACACAAACTGTGTGCAGGTCTTTTTTCTTTGCAACCAGAGCAATTCTGTAATAGATTCGAGCAGGAGAAAAATATAATTACATTGGGATGATTTCCATTAGCTGACAGAGTCACTGTCTCAATATAATGCATATTTGGAAGTTATTCTTTTTAAAAGGTGGCATTTGTTATTTAATAGATCAGCAGTAGTTTGGAGCACATAAAACTATTATGGCGCAGGTCACCTCTTTACTAGCATCTTATAGCATTATCCAGCCTTTGAAATTAATAATTTAAGGCAGGATTTATATGACTATAGCGATAGTTGGCTATGAGATAATATAAATCATTAGAGAGAAAATAGTCTTAATGGACAAAGATTTCCATTTTTTAAACACTACATAAGAGACAGAGAAAAATCAGGGAATGGGGAATTCACACAAAGAAGGTGTTAAATTGTGCAGACTATTCATTCTGCTAATATGTGGATTGCAAACTTACCTGATCATCAAATCAAAGAAAGTCCTTTTTAAGAGACCACCCAACTAAACTGAGAAATTTTAGAGACACCCAGTGACATGTTTCCAATAGAGAATGTAAAACTTGAGCACCTTATCTAGTGGCAGAGGTAAATAACATATATTCTTTGACATATTACATTACCAAGCCATTTAAAACAGAAGCATGGGATTTCTAGCTCTCTTATTATGACTGTATGAGTGCCAAGCATCCTTCATCATCAGCCATGCTAACCAGGGTTGCTGGGAGTTGAAATTTAATAACGACCCATTTTCCACCCTTGGTTTTAAATGGCAACATTTCACATTCTGCACCATACACCATACATTTGACAAGAGAAATGGAAAAACAACCACATGATCCGTGCTTCTTGATCTCTAACCATATATAATTCACATATTCAGTGAATGGATAAGAAGTCTGAGAGTTCAGGTACAGGAAGCTTACAATAAATTAGGAAATCTTTATATGGATGAGTCATATTTAAACTATTTCATCATATCCTATGTTTTTCTTTGCACCTCAAAATATATGGGAAGTAACAGGTAAGAATATCCTTTCAGTCTTAAACTCTTGTTCTATTTTTCTAACAAGTGTTTATCAGAATTCAAGCATAGCTGCAAGGCAAAATATCAATGTATCCAATCAAACATGATAGTAAATCACTTGTTGCAATTTTTTAAAAATGAAAGCAAATAGAAAAGTAGCAGATTCTCATGATTTTGTTCTCCCTAACTAATAACTACCCTGTTTCCCTGAAAATAAGACCTCCCTGGATAATTAGCCCAATCAGGCTTTTGAGTGCATGCACTAAAATAAACCCTCCCTGAAAATAAGTCCTCCCTGAAAATATTGCAACACAGCAACAGCCATGTGTTGTGCTCCCTACCTCCTGCACCTCAAAAATAACAAGACCTCCCCCAAAATAAGGCCAAGCACTTATTTTGGGGTTCAAAAGAAAATAAGACCCTATCTTAAATCCTTGAGTTCTTGGAAATGTTATTTCCAAGTTGGCAGATCATAACTGGAATGTCTGTCTTCAAATGTCTTTTTCTAAAGCCTATGTTCCTTTTTTCAGGTTTCCCTCGATTTGTTTTGGCAAACGTGCAATAATTCTTCAACAGAAGTACACATACCCATATTAGTCAGAAAAATGCCCATAGTCTCATGGAACTGTTTGGAGTTTATAGATCCTACACTTGTAGATCCTGTACAACTATGGTTAACTATAAATCTAAATTTCAGCAAAAAGTAGTGTGGCCATGACAAATAATATATATAAAATTCTTCATCTCCAGATCATACTCAGTACTGCCTAATAAAGAAACCCAAATCTAGCATGTGGCCAGCTATAACTTTTGAGCTATTAAAGGCCAGAATTCTTCATCATAGCTTCCATGAAACCCTGAGCTGCTGTAACCATTATGGCCTCAGCCTGGATATCTAAATCCTCCAGAACTGCCTCTTTGGTGTCTTCAACAGAGCGTCCAGTTCCCTGTTACCTAGGCTTCCTTTGTGTGATTACTTAGAAGAGGAAGTCCCTCTGGGAATTTGCCTGAATTACACTGACTGAAGGCTCACGAAAGCTTTTCTCTGCACTCTCAGCTTGAGCCAGACTGTTGCTGAAGTAACATCTCTCTTGGGGCTCTGAGATCCTGTTTGTGCTTTGCCAGCTCTGAGGTTCGTACTGTAAGTTTTATCAGAAGTGAGACAATGGAGAGTAAGAATTGTCTTTTGGGAAAAGACCAAGGCTAGTGTACAGTAGTTATTCCTTGCTATTCAATACTTCTATACCTTTTTTTTCCAAGTCATTACAAGTCATTGAAAATCTGTGTCATGTATAGAGATCAAATACAATTTGATCCAATTCTATACAATTGTGACAATTGGAAGTAAACACACATCTTAACACTGGATGCAACATAAAGACTTGAAAACTTTTACATTATGTAGCTCTGATAATAATGAAATCCCATCCTGTATAACATGTGCAGACAGGTAAAATGTATTTTATTAAGGAATTTAAGGTTGAACAGGACTAATCATTTCTTTTTAAGCACGACTGCTTCTTTCAAATCACAACTATGATCAACAGCACTTTATGCCCTAAGTATCTCCTCCTTTTGCTTCAAAATGGCAATGGAACAATAACAATAAAAACATTGATGGAATTCAACCTGTTCTCAGTATTAGAAAACTATTCTGTAGATAGAACATAGTAGACTGTTTCAATGAAGAAGAGACTCTCAGTCATATCCCTGTTATGAAATGGAAATATTAGGTTTTAAAGTTTGTTAAACTGAAACAGGATAAACTACTTAATCCACTAAAGGAGAAGCAAGACATGGTCTATAGTTATTGATTATCTAAATTATTCAATTCAACAGTATTCAACAGTTAAAATTTCAAAATAAAAGAACATATTGTCAAGAACAACTAATTAAAGATAACTACACTAATAATCCTGAGAATTTATTTTTTGGATTAAGAAATGATTTAATAAATCAGATTCATTTATCAAAAATTCTTTTTAGAACCCTGAGAAATCAACCGGAGCTAGACTATTTATCCAAACTTGTACCATTCTTAAAGCATGAAAACTCCAAAGTTACTTAATCTATGCAAGGCATACCAACTTATTAAACAACAATATACATACTTACCCTTGCCATGTCTGGCTTTTTTGTGGCAACAATTCCTATAAAAGAAATCTTCTATGATACTACATTCCTTGGTACAGTAATGAAGAAGTTATGTACAAAACTGATGCTACCTACATAAAGAGAAGGGGGGGAAGCATCAACACAATTCAGAAAATCACATTTGAACACATTTTACATATTTGTCTTAAAATCTTAAATGATCATGTATATACCTAAGAATTCAGTATGTTTGAAGAATTATGTACACAGAATACACCTGGGTAGTACAATTGTTTGATTGTTGAATATATTACTGTATAATAACTGTATTGATGCATAAAATCAAGCCAAGGTTTTGTTGAACAAATCATGGTGGCCCAGTTCGTATATGAAACTACACCAGAATGGTTAAATTTACACATCTTGCTAAGCCAAAAAACATTCAAAAATATTATGAACTGACATTTTGTGACACAAACGAACAGATGATTAAAGAGAATGGTTGTGGATATAATTTGTATAGTTCCTGATAGTACAGTTAAGATGTACATAAAATATTGGAAGGCTACTGTCAATTAATGTACATTATTAAACTATGTGAACTAATGTTATGGCTCAGTATAGAGTAATTTCCCATATAAGAATTGGCTATGTTCTTCTAAAAAAAATTGCCTAGTTTTTTTTAAGAAAATGCTCGTTTCATATTGAAAATTTTCAAAATTTTAATCATTGTAAAGCAAAAAAGAAGATGAATATAATCCATGTGTTACATATGCCATAAATAATCTTAATTATTTAACAATTAATTAATACTCAGTAATTTGGTTACTTGTGTCCCTTTAAAATCTGTTGTGTTTTCTCACAAATCAGGTTTCAGCTGGGCAAAAACAGATGCACTAATGGCTTCTCCAAGAGTCTGTTGACTATCCAGAAACAGTTAGAATTGTCTTATTTCCTTTTTGCATTGAAACAATTATTCTGCAAAAATGCTGCTATTCTATACAATAATAGAATAGCAGAGTTGGAAGGGACCTTGGAGGTCTTCTAGTCCAACCCCCTGCCTAGGCAGGAAACCCTATATCATTTCAAACAAATGGCTATCCAACATCTTCTTAAAGGCTTCCAGTGTTGGGGCATTCACAACTTCTGGCAGCAACTTCTGTTCCACAAAATGAGAAGATGTCCTCATTCAAATTATAAACATCTTTAATATCAGGCTTTATTTCCATACAAGTCACTGAAACATAGTGGGGATAACTGAAAGACATGGAAAACAAAAGTCTGGGTAATTGTTGCAGACAAGAGGTATATTGTGACTAGACAGAGCCTTTGATGAATAATTATAAAATCGAGAAGATCTTCCCTCATTTCATGATATTTTAGAAATGTTCTAAATATACACAATAATATAAATGTGGCCTATCCCTGCATTAGTTTGAGATGTTTGTTTCTTAGAATATTTTCCCTACAATTAAGATGGGGCCTGAATAGGATAATGAAGCATTTGGGGAAAAAGATGCAAGCCAAGAGCCCAGCCCCAGAGGCCAAGAT